TCACCTGATCCATCGATATCCATTGCCTGAGGCATCAACTGCCTTCTAATTCTCTTTCGTCGATGCATTTTTCTTTCTTTTGGTTAGTATATACAAGTAGATAAAATGAGCTTTCCGATTTTGTTAAATCTCAATAATCAGGTGGCTACTCACCAATTCCGGTATCGATTCTCGCAGCCCATCGACTTCAGTCAATATGAAATTGCACTTGGATCTATATCCATCTACTACTCTTGGCGAGCAATCACTGCTCAGCGTCAAAACAACAGCTTAAAGATCATATGGCCGACAGCTTCGACGACATCGACATACACAATTACGCTCCCTGATGGCACATACTCGGCAAGCGATATCAACAACTACCTTCAATATTGGTCTATCCAGAATAATCTCTATTTGACCAACAATACGACTGGAACAAACTACTATTTCATCTCATGCGCCGAGAACCCATCCAGTTACGCGATTCAATTCACAATGCAGCCAGTCAAAAATATTACGGGCTACACTGCTGCAAGTGGCTTTCCAACGATGCCAGTCACTGCTTATACGCCTCAGCTTCAGGTAGTTGATACTGCATTCGGTTCAATTATTGGTTTCACCCCAGGTACGTATCCCGCAGCTCAAACAACTAGCGTTTATGCAGTGAATAGTAATCTAGTGCCTCAGATCGATCCGACCGCCGCGGTTGTTATTACGTGTTCAAATCTTTATAATCCTATCGCAAACAATAATCAGGTGTTGCACACATTTACAAGTGCCGGTGTTGAGTATGGCGGCTTAATAACGACTTCTCAGGGTCAGGGGCTGGCTTATTGCCCAATGCAAGGAACCAATTCAGAGCTAACGCTATCATTCCTTGATCAGAATATGATCCCACTTGGTATCATCGATAACAACGTATGCATCCGTCTATTGATACGACCAAAAAAAGTAGTAGCGAATAAGCTAATTATAGGTCGCATACATACTTGATAACATTCTTGTAGATCTTCCGATTGATGATATCCATCATCATCGTGTTCATTTTTTCGGATGTTGTTCGTTTGTATAAATCGATGAATGTTTTTATTGAAATGTCAGTGGGGAAGTCACGACAGATAATACCAAGGTCTCGTTGAGTAAGATTCCGACCGAGAATTACGTATTGACTATTAATGCGAAT